GCTCATACACATACAAACTTGTTATTTATTATGGCAATAAACTTGTTTATTAATTATAGCAATGAACTTTGTTTCTCATTACAACAACGAACTTTGTTTATGCAAACTTAATACTCATTTTTGCAATATATTTCTATTTATGAAAACTTTTATCAAAACATTGATTTCGATTCATGAAACCAATATTATTATTATTATTTTTTTGTCTGTGAGTACTCACCAACTATTTTTATAGTTGACGCTCGTTTTACATGCTTTTTCAGGAATCATCGAGTAAGTGGCACTTAGGGACACATCACTTTTAGGAACATTCGCATGTGTTGTATTTCAATTTACATTGTAATTTCTTTTAAAAGTTGTTCAAACCCATTGTAAATTTGTAATGAATTTTAATACTATGGTTGGTGTTGTCTTTTAACTTTTGCTATGAAACCCTTTATACTGGCACGCCTCGTGTTTCCGCTTTAGCGGGGTGTGACATGGATGAAGGTACAGTCTTTGGAATTTTCGTTTTTTTTTTCAGATTTTCAGTAACAATTTTTTATTCTGGACAAGTTTTGTGTATGCGTGTATGAGGAATTTAGCTTGTGATGGTAAATTGCATAACCAAATGAAATTTAGCTTTTTTGAATTGATGTTCTCTTCAAAAGTCAATGGTTTTATGTTTGTGTTTGTTTAATTACAAAATATACAAACGAAAAAAGGGCCAGTTTAGAACCTTTAACTGATTGCTTCTCATTAGAAAAAAAGATCAATAAAAATAATTAAAATTAAGAAAAGTATGTTGTTACTTATTTGTGCATAACCAATTCTTACACTTTGAACAAAAGAGTGTTACATGAGAATATAATTCGACTACCTTAACAAAGGATGGCAGCCCTGTAGCTCAATTTGAGCACACTATTTTGATGACAAGAACTGGTGCAGAAATCTTGACAAAGTTTTTGAAGCTTTTGACATGATTTTGTTATTAATTTCGTATAAGTTAAGTTAAACAGATCATCTAGATAATACATTCAATCAGTTGTATATTATGGGCCTAAATATGGCATGTATTTTTAAATCGCCAAAAACCAAAATTGATTGGAAATTACCGAATTTAAAAAGCTAACTAATTATTTGACTAATAAAAGCATGTGATTTTACAATTAAAATAGATTAATTGAAGGGTTAATGACCTAAGAGGGTAACGAACTTTGGTTTTTGTCCATATTTATTTATTTATAACTTCATATAATTATTATTGAAAATACATACTTATTCTTCTTTTGAGTTGTGACTTATTTATTCATTTTGTGTACATGTATGTATATTACTTACTTTGCGATTTTAAGTAAAAATATGGTTATAACATGTATGAATGTGTTGGTTTTTTTTTTCATTTTATTAAATTGTATATTTCATTATACAACATATTAAATATCATTAATTTCGAGTTAAAGAAAAATAATATTGTTTTCAAAACATTTTAGATACTAATTAAAAATAACGATCATAAATTTACGAACAAAACATCTAATGTCGTATATTGCGTTATCAACGTTCACTCATGGGCACCTGTATATTGCATTATCAAGAGTTAAAAGAAAATACGTATTAAAAATATTAATTTTAGACAATGACAGTAAACTTACCAATAGGACATCTAATGTCATATTCAAAAAATCTTTGGAAATTTATGATTCAACCCATATAATTAAAATACATCAATAGTTTTTTTATTAATATATATTAAATTACTTACTTATTCATCATTTTGTTTGTATTTGTCTCTAAATTTTTACCTTAAACATGTTTAATATTTACACCTTGATATTTAACTTTTTTTTAATCAACATGTGTATTACACGGGTCTTACACCTACTAATAACAATAATAACACGTGCATATTAATCAATCCACAACTACTACAAAATGTCATGTGTCAGATTTAATTAGAAGTTGATATTTGACAAAAAAAAATTATTTATTAGGGTAGATTAAATATAATTGAGTAATAATTAATAGGTGGCATTTTAATAAGAATGAAAAACACAATAACGAGATGTTGATTCTAATTAATCAAAAATTAGTAGAAAATGTCATTGATTAAATTGAATAAGAAGTGAATTGATTTTGATTTATTAAAAAAAAATAAGTAACGTACCCAAGTTTCCTTTTCATTTAATATATTTATTAAATATTAAATATAATTGATTGATAAAATAATAGGTGACATTTTATTATAAAGGAAGACACATAATAATGAGACACGTGTATTAACTAATAAAAAATTATTAGAAAATGTCATTTGTCTATTAACTAATCAAAAATTATTAGAAAACGTCATTTGTCGAATTAAATGAAAAGTTAACGTTTGATAAAAAAAATATTTTGATTTATTAGGTTAGATATTTATTAAATAATAAGTATAATTAACTAATAATTAATAGATTGCATTTTTTAGTTGGCATTCTAATTAAAAACACACAATAATCATGTAGATATTAACTAATCCATAATTACTAGAAAATATCATGTCCAAATTGAAATTTGAAAAAAAAAAAAGATTTTGATTTATTGGGATAGATTAAATATAACTGATTAATAATTATTATGTGGCATTTTAATAAAAAGGAAAAATATACAATAATGACATGTGAATATTAATTAATCCAAAACTATGGAAAAATGTCATGTTTGAAATTGAATAAGGAGTTGATATTTGAAAAAAAAAAAGATTTTGATTTAGTATGTTAGAATTTATTAATTATGAAAGGTAATTAATTCATAATTAATAGTAGACATTTTATTAGTTTCGAAAATAATAAATAAATAGTCTTTTTTTTTTTTCTAATTTCATTTTCAAGTTTTATTTTTTAACTTTTTGTAGGTATTCTAAATATATGGTGAAGGCCTTCACATGTTTCAAAACATTTTATGGTGTCATATGAAGTCAACTTTATATATATATATATATATATATATATATATATATATCTATATATATATATATATATATATATAATATATATATCTATATATATGACAAAATTGCAAAAATGGTCCCTATGGTATGTAATTTTTTGGGGTTTTAGTCCAAACCATGATTTTTTTGGATTGGTGGTCCTTTTTACCTAGTTTCCTTGCACTTTTTGGTCCATGTCCAAACTAAAAAGACTATTATACCCTTAATGAATTTAATTTTCATTTTTCTTTCACTTTTTAAAATTATTATTATTATTAAATATAAAATTGGGCCCACATGTCCACCTCTCTCTCTCTCTCTCTCTTATTTCTCGTCTGCTAACAAGAAAAGAAGCAGCAGCAAATAGCTGAAGCTGCTGTTTCCACCCTAACTAGCAGACCACCATGGCAGCCCTCCCTCTCTTCCTATGAACAACGATCGACCCACCCCGATTGTTGCGTTCCATTCCTTCTTCCCTTATTTCAATCAAGTTCCTTTCGCTCCAAATCAATTGCAGACCGGAACCAGAGATGCCTTCTCCCTCTTTGCAATTGACCAACCTCTTCAATTCCTCACTTCCTCCACTTCTTGATTGTTGTCAAGAAGCTCCACTGGAGATGGAGCAGCATCCTACAAAACCACGAGGCTGTCAAACATCAAACCCAAAAACCCTTTTCCTCTTCAGCGTCTTCTTTCTTCTTCTGATCCAATCGGCCAGCAACACACGAAGGAGGAATAAGGACTTCGGTCCTCTGCCTTTGTCTGATCGAGAAGAGGGACCCGATTGGAAGCAACAACAGATTGAGGGGGATGTATGTGGGTGGTGATCGTCCGCAGAAAGGGAATGAGGAAGAGGGTTGGGAGTGGGTTTGTATGGTCCTTGTCTGGTCGGAGTAGAAAGAAATTGAACGAAAGCAGAAAAGAAATACGAGGGCAGCAAAGAAACTTGGTCTTGTGGTGGTTCATATGTGGTAGTTACACAGTCACGAGGAGGGGTGCCGACAGAAGGCTATCCCCGGAGCCTTCATTCCCTTTCTGTTGTGATCCGCAGCAAAACGTAAAAGAGGATGGAGGTCTTCGATCCTCTATTGATCCGAGAAGAAGGAAGCATTAGCGGAGGCGGCAGTTGGTGGCGAGGGAGGTGTTGGTGGTGGGGATGGTAGCCCCTTGGCTCACCGATAGAGTGTTGTTCTTGATGGTCACCGTAAATGCATCCACCTCCAGTGGTGTTTTTACCATAAAAATGAAGAAGAAAAGGAAGAAATAAAACTGGGAGATAGATTGAGAGAGAGAGAGAGAGAGAGAGGTGGGCCTCATAATTTTTATTAATAAAACTTTAAATTTAATAGCAAAAACCATAAAAAAATGTATCAGAAGGACATTTTAGTCTTTTCAGTTTTTTGGGGGACCAAAAGTGCAAGGAAACTAGCTCAAAAGGACCACCAATCCCAAAAAGTCATGGTTGGGACTAAAACCCCAAAAAAATGCATACCACAGGGACCATTTTTGCAATTTTTCCTCTATATATATATATATATATATATATATATATATATATATATATATATATAATTTCAAAACTATAATACGAACATACAAAAATATAATACGACATAAAATGTGAAACTGAGATATATATAAGGAATAATTTCAAAAATATAATACGAACATAAAAAAATAATATCCAAGCGACTGAAAAGTTTAGTTTTTTTTTTCTATTATTATTATTATTATTATTATTATTATTATTATTATTATTTTGAAATACAGGTTAATTAAAAGGTTTAAAGCCTATGACGTATACTTAACATCAGTTGTGAAACGAAATAGAGGACCAAAATGGGAAACTGAGAGAAACAAAAGGGTGTATAATAGGAATATCTTGAAAAAAGGAACAGAAGAAAAAGTCAACAGTCAAAGACGTTGCGCTCCCAATCTCTCTCCTCCCTTTCCGCTATTTTCCCCTCCTATATTTACAACCACACTGTCGTCTCCGTAACAACAATATTCACTTGGCCAATTAGGTTTCCGCCGTCGCCGGAGGAAACCAAAAATGGGTTCGCCAACCTGCTCCGCTGATGCACTGGCAGCCATGTTTGGTGCCAACACCACCAACGCTACTGGCGCTGCCGCTTTTATCTGCGATCAATTTAACACCGTCTCCACAAAGTTCAGCGACACCACATACGCCGTCGACTCCACATACCTTCTTTTCTCTGCATATCTCGTCTTCTCCATGCAGCTTGGTTTCGCCATGCTCTGTGCAGGCTCTGTTCGTGCCAAAAACACCATGAATATCATGCTCACTAACGTTCTTGATGCTGCCGCCGGTGGTCTATTTTACTACCTATTCGGATTCGCTTTTGCCTTCGGTACCCCATCCAATGGGTTCATCGGTAAACACAACTTTGCCCTTCAAAATATGCCTTCGTCTGACTTCGACTACAGCTATTTCTTATACCAGTGGGCTTTCGCCATCGCCGCTGCCGGAATCACATCCGGATCTATCGCCGAGAGAACTCAATTCGTCGCTTATCTGATTTACTCTGCTTTCCTGACCGGATTCGTTTACCCCGTCGTATCGCATTGGTTCTGGTCCGTCGACGGATGGGCAAGCGCCACGAACATGGATAACTTATTTCTCGGATCAGGTGTCATCGATTTCGCAGGATCTGGTGTGGTTCATATGGTTGGTGGGATCGCAGGCTTATACGGTGCTTTAATCGAAGGCCCAAGAATCGGCCGATTCGACCACAGCGGCCGATCAGTGGCCTTACGCGGCCATAGCGCCTCCTTGGTGGTGCTCGGTACTTTTCTTCTATGGTTCGGATGGTACGGATTTAACCCAGGTTCGTTTGTCAAAATCCTAAGCCCGTACGAATCAGGTAGCTATTACGGACAGTGGAGCGCCGTCGGTAGAACCGCCGTAACAACAACCCTAGCTGGTTGCACAGCCGCCCTAACCACTCTCTTCGGTAAGAGAATACTCTCCGGACACTGGAATGTAGTCGATGTCTGCAACGGACTATTGGGTGGCTTCGCAGCCATAACCTCAGGGTGTTCGGTGGTTGATCCATGGGCTGCAGTCATCTGCGGATTCGTGGCCGCATGTGTCTTAACAGGGTTCAACAAGCTAGCGGAGAAGATGAAATACGACGACCCATTAGAGGCGGCTCAGCTTCACGGCGGTTGCGGAGCATGGGGGATCATCTTCACTGGTTTATTCGCGAAGGAGAAGTATGTGAACGAGGTGTATCCAGGGAAACCAGGTAGGCCATATGGGTTGTTCATGGGTGGTGGTGGAAAACTTCTAGCAGCACATGTGATCCAGATTTTAGTGATTATTGGGTTCGTAAGTGCCACAATGGGTCCGTTGTTTTTGATTCTTAAAAAGCTTGGGTTGCTAAGGATCTCGGCGGAGGATGAAACAGCAGGTATGGATATGACCAGACATGGTGGTTTTGCATATGTTTATCATGATGAAGATGATCAGAAACTCGGCCTTCCGATGAGGAAGATAGAGCCTGCCGTTTCATCTTAAAGAGTTTTTAGTATGTTTCTTTTTATTATTAATATATGTAGCTCTGGAATATGGATGTTAGTTTTTTTTTTTCTTTTGGAGGTTGGTACAAAAGTTTATTTGGTTATAAATTGAAAAGATTGTGATTCTAGGAGCTTAAATCTTAACAAAGCTATTTTTATAAGATGTGTGTGTTATTTTTCATAGCATAGCATGTGTTACATTATTATTTCATCTATGATTGGTGTAATATGAATTAAAATATATGTTTTTTTCATGGAGGAATTAAAACGATGCGTGGCTTGGTGGGTGAGAAATATATTAGTTTAGTTTATTATAAAGTGTTGAAAACCACGTGACTGAATACGATGAATTGAATAATTGATTATTGTTAATACCAATGCTTTTAAATTAAAAATCATTTTCAATACGATGTGAGGTTTGGTGGGAAGCTTACTTTTGTCGTTGATTTTTGCTAACCTTTTTATATTAGATGAATCTTTACGCATATTTGTGAATATAAAGTCTAAAGTATAATCTTTCTAGAAATAATTGTTTTGGGCTAGGAGTTTTAAGTTGTTTGAAGTTTCTACAAATCCCCGATTAGTTTTTAAGCTATAATTAGTGATTTTGAGTTGTTTTAGAATTTTGTTGATCGTCAAGAACTACGGATAATAAAAATATTAAAGTGGGTATCCATGGTAAAACAAATACCACATGAGTAGATAACGGAAAATAGATTTTGACTAATTAATTGGGCTCTTGGTCATCCTCTAAGGCAGTGTGTTCATTAGGAGAAAGTAAATGAATGTTGTGGGGAGAGTTGGGCAAAGTGTTTCCCAAGGGTGGGGTAAGAGACTAAGAGGGGATTAGAAGAGGATTCTTGATGGGTTTGTGTAGGCCCATGAGGTCCTATTTGTAGAATGCAAAAAATCTAAAAGATGAGGTGTCTTGGTACTTGGTAGAAGACCGGTTCATTGACTTTTAATGTCCGGAGTAGAGATGAGATTTAGAACCGAAAGACTGGACTGCACCGGAACCGTTAGAATCAGAACATGTAAAACCGGTATTGGTCTCGGGTTTAAAGAATTACTTTATCCGGGTTCTGGGTAATCCAGGTTTCGTGTCCGGGTAAACTGGGTTTAAGAACCGGAACCGTGTTAGGAACCGGAACCGGTTTTAGGGGCCGGAACCGGTTTATGTGAAAAGTTTAAAAACGCATATCTCATTCGTTTAAAGTCAAATTGGCATGAAGTTTTTTCCAAAGTGTAGTTTATAATTTGTACATGATTTTAGACTATAATTTTGTCATTTTTGAGTTTATATTCATTGACTTACAGTCTCTCAAAGTCGGGATATCAAAGTTGAAAATTTTATGTTTTTCAGCTTTTTTTGTATTCTGTGATAGTTTTAAAACATGCATATTTAATTCGTTTCACGTCGGAATAGCATGCGGTTTTTTCCAAAGTGTAGTATAGAGTTTGTACATGATTTTAGACTTTAATTTGTCATTTTTGGTTTCATATTCATTGATTTATAGTATCTAATTCGTTTGAAGTCGAATTATCATGAGGTTTTTTGCAACGTGTAGTTAAGAGTTTGTACATGATATTAGACTATAAGTTTGTTATTTTTGGTGTAATATTTAATGACTTACAGTCTCCCAAAGTTAGGATATCAAAGTTGAAAATTTTCAAGGTTCAACTACTAAGTAATTACCAAAAAATTCTGGTTTTCGGTTCTAGACCCACTCTATCCGGTTCCATCCGACCCACTTTGATGTTTCTGAGTTTTTCGGTTCTAGACCCACTTTACCCGGTACCTTACCCGGAACCGAACCGGAACCGTTTCTTATATACCGGTCCGGTTTTCGGTCCTACAAAATCCCGTTAACCGGTTCCTGGGTTTTTCGGGTCCGTGTCTACCAGTCCGGGTTTGGACCCACTCTCATCCCTAGTCCGGAGATACTAAAAAAATGTCGATATATAATAAAAAAGATATAACAAAGTGAAATAAATTTTATAACCAAACTAAATCATGATTATACAAACAAAAACATACAAAAAATCATCTAAAACGATGTCTACGTGTATTTTCTTTAAACAAAAACATCTCTAATTTTATGATAATCAAGCCTTTATAGAAAGTGACTTTTGATACTCAAAATTGTTAATTAGTTAATCTTTCTTGATTCATGGTACTTCGAAAATATAATTTCACCAACTTAAATTTCGAAAAACTTCTTTCCGCGATAGCTACTGTAACCAGTATTGTCAACAAAATCTTATATGCTACCAATACATTGGGAAACATGTCTATTTTCTTTGTGAACTCCATGATTTGAATAGCCGTCCAACGAATTTCATATTTGTATGTTTCATCCGGCAACATTACCTGCAAAACTTTTAACTCAATAAATAAATCTTATTATCAATATCAAGTTCTTCATTAACTGTCAAACTAGTTTCAAGTTTACAACATTTTTTTAATCCATCATCAACTAAGGATTTTAACATTGAACCATCAAACAAAATACAAAAATGATTCAAATTGCTACATTTGTTCAAATCTACTTTTAGTTATGTAAGAGTCATATTCACTTAAATAATAAAATAATATCTTCTAATTTTTTCTTTAGAAGTTTGTTGTTCTCTTTCAATATTTGGAACTTCATCAAATTGTTTTTTCTACAATAAATACATTTAATAGGAAATTCAGGTTCAACTCCAATATTATGTGTTATTTCTTTAGCTTTAACAATAGCAGAGTCAAACCTATTTTCCATATAATTTCAAAATAATTAACTAATCCCTTTAAATTTTCTACCGCAACATCAAGAATCATATCTTTGGATTGTAACTTTTTTACTTAAGAAATTAATTCTAAATGAAATATCATGTCATATTACTAAACTTAAAATAAATTCAAAACCAGAAATTTCATCATTTATTAATTAATCAACATCTCTACAAAATTTTTCATCATCACTCATTTTAGCTAATTTTATTAAAGCTTCTTTAATTTGAAAAAGTTGAGTTTTTATTTTTTTAACACTTTTAATGTGACTTTTCCAACTTGTTGCAAACAATTATTTAAGTGTTAATTCATCTACATACTCAAGTAAAACACTCTATCTTTTTGTTGAAGTAGAAAAAACATTATATATCATTTGAAAAGTACCAATTTTTTTAATCTTTTCTATATATATATTGCTTTATGAGAAGAATTTGTCACATCACAAAATACTAAATTAAGATTATGACATACACAACATATAAAAAGCTCTTGAATTTATATCAAACAATTTTTTGTGTACACTTTCATGTTGCATTTTATATTTTCAAAACATTGAAAAGTCTTAAATTAGATGTATCTTCTATAACTAAGAACTCTAGATAAAACTCTTTTACTTTTATTGGAACATTTGTAACATCGACATATCTTTTAGTCAAAGTCATCCGTTCTTTGTGAGTGGTATCTGGAATGCAATCAAGAAATATAGAAAAATATTTTATATTTTTTAGTTTTTTAACAATTGCATTTTTTACTTCAGATGCCAACATTTCAATTAATTCATTTTGAAATTTATGACTAAGATAATGATTATGACTTTTTTATCTTGAATAAGTAAAAAAATATTGTTTCATTACTAGATCAAATTCAACAATCATGAACTATACATAAAAAGTTAGCATTATAATTCTTATATATTTTTTCATTTGTTCCACAAAAAGCTAAGTTACTTTCAGCTAAACATTTTACAACTTCAATTATTCCTACTAAAACTTCTTTCCAATGTTTTGTATCTCTTTTTATCATTTCTTGTAACTCTTTATCAAGTGTTTTATTTTTATATAACAAAAGTCACGTTTCAGTCCAAATTTTAAATTAATCATATGCAGGGTTGATCTATTGGTTTTCCATGCCCTGAGCGAAAGAGACTCGATAATCCCCCTATATATACCAAGCTCATACAGAACATAAAGTTATAAAAAATTACCAGTACAAATTTTTTTAGATACATGTTTAATGTCTTCGATAGCTAACAAACATGTCTTATAAATTAATAGATAGGAAAAAGAAAAAGTTTCTTTTTCAAGTTGATGGTATAAGATAATTAGATCCTTCAAAACAAAATGACCGAAAAAAACAAACATATTTGAAGTTGGATGATAATTTATAAACCTGACTCAAAAAGTAAAAAACCATATAAAATGGCCCTAATCCTATTAGCTTTACATAATATACTAATCCTATTAACAAATAAACAATTAAAAACCAAACAAAATACGCAAATTCTTTTTTTCTTCAATTCCATATCAAGATTTAGACTAATATTCAAGACTAATTACAAAAAGTGTTCTAATCCTATTAACAAAGAATCAACTAAAAACAAGCAAAGTGGAACAAGAACCATTATAAAATAACATTTTTAACAACAATGACTTGTACAAATAGATAGCTAGCGAAAACCGGGCAAAATACAAGAAATAAAATTAGATGAACACAATGCTAAGAACCTTGCAAAATAACTTTATCTAGTTAAGATCACACCTGCTAGCATAAGAGCTCAGCAAGATTACAAGCAACCAAGGTTGTAGAACTCGTTGCTCGGTACCTGTTCGGCCGACTACCGAGTAGCAAGTACCCGGGAATACTCGGGAGTACTCGGGGAGTATTCGGATTCGGTAATTCATGTAGAAATATTTTTAGGGAAATTATATATGTCAAAATCATAAGTTAAAATCATAAGTTGATTGAAATATATAACAAAATTAGATACATGTGAATACATAAAAGCTAAAAAACACATAATGGTCTCACTTCGTGAATAATTACTGAAAATTTAAGATATATATTTAGTAATAATCACATGTGTGTGTTAAATAATAAATCATTAAGTATATTATACATATTAATCATCGAGTTGAACGTGTTTTGCAATACTACTCAGTTCAGTAAGGGTCTAATCAGAGAGTACTCGGGATTCTGTAACTCGCCTCGGTAAGGGGACGAGTAGC